GCTTCATTGAGCGGGGGGCATCTCATCCAGCTCATGGGGCGGGGGGGGGGGGGGGGGGGGGGGGGGGGGGGAGGGCTAGGGGACGGGGCAATGGGCCGCCGGGGCTCATGTGCAGGCTCGCTTTCTCCTGGAGCAGACGAGACCCGGCAGAAGGGGATGGGAAGGGCGAGGAGGGGGCCCATGGGGCCAGCATGGATCGATCCATGGCAATCATGGGCCCAGGCAGGCCGCCCGGGGACCTGGTCGCGCGCACGCGCGCGCCCGCGCGCGAGCATGGGGCCATCGCAAAAGCAGGGGCGCGCGGGGGGACGCGAAGCCCTAGCGCCATGGGAATACAGGAGCATGCGTACACGGGGGCATCTAGGCGCATGAGCAGAGGCCAGCCCAGGGATGCTCGGAGTATGGGACAGACCCAGATACACACATACGCACAGACGCCGTCTCCCTTTTCTCCTCTCTCGCTCGCTCGCTCGCTCTCTCTCTCTCTCAGCCCTCCCCCCGGCCCACACAGCCAGCTCAATATAAAAGTACTAATATGCATCCGGCCGATGTCGAGCCATCCACAGCCAGCCTGCCACGAAGGGACCCCCGCCGGGAGCATGATGGACACGGGCACGCATGCTCATGTGTTGGTTCCGACGTCGGGCCGGCCACGGCCTGGCCAAACGCCATCTCATCGCGGGAGGATCAAAGCCCGGGCCAGGTTAGACACCCGCACCGCGGTCCAGGGCCGGCGGTCGGGTATTTTGCCCCAAGCGCATGGCACGCGCCGCATGCCCCCCCCCCCCCACACAGGGGAGGGGGACCCCCAGCCGGCAGGCAGAGGCGCCTGGTGGCAGCGCGCCGGGCGCGCCGCCCACCGGCCGGGCCGGCCAAGGCTGGAGGTGTCAGGCCCGATGTCGCGCCCGACGAGGGAAGAGGGGGCGGGGAGGCAGGGGAGGAGCCGCGCCGGACAACGCTCCCCTAGCGCGGCGCCGCCAGTATTAATGCCAGGCTATTTTGTACGCGGGCGGGCGGGTGGGCGGGCGGTCATCCGGTCCGACCTCGTCTACCTCCCTCCCCCCTGGGGGCGGAGGGGGGCAAAGCACCGAAGGAGGGGATGCGCGCGGGTGGGCGCTCGCCTAGCCCGCAACCACGATCGCGCAGGGGCTCAGTCACGCGCGAGGGCCGCGCCGTTCCTTAACGTGTGCCGGGGGGGGGGGCGGGGGCGGGGGCGGGGTGTCACCCTCGTCCCGGGCGGGGCAGAACCCGGGGCGCATCGGCGGCCAGCTTGGTGGCGCCAATCCCCCGGCCCGGCGCCGCGAGCCCGAGAGAAAGTGTCATCACGAATGGCGGGGGCAATTGCTGCGTGCTCCAAAATGTCCGCCTGCAAGGCCCCCGCCGTGGGTTGGCAGCCGCCGGGCGGCCGGGGTTGGGTGGTGGGTGGGTGTCTTCGGGCAGTTGGTGGGCGGGGCGTTCCCACAAGCGAGCGGCCGGCCGGGCGGCCGGGTGCCGGTGTGCGAGCGGCCTGCCGTTGGCGCCCTGGCTCTCTTACACGGAACCCCCCTGGCTGGCCTTCATGGTGGCGATGTTGAGAAGGGCGGTGTGATTGCGGGGGAGGCTGGATGGGCGCGATCGATCGGTCCTCTCGGCCGGAGCCGGGGCCGGGGCCCCGGGGCCCGGGGGGCGGGGGCACCGGCGC